GAGGATATGGAGGAGGAGGAGGTGGAGGAGGAGAAGTAGGAGGAGGAGGAACATGAGGAGGCCCGTTTGGAGGAACAGGGTGGTGATGTTGCAGATGACGATGATGCTGATGATGCTGATGCGGCTGATGATGATGATGCTGATGATGGTGATGATGATGATGATGATGATGATGATGATGATGATGATGCTGATGCTGATGCTGATGCTGATGCTGATGCTGGTGCTGATGATGCTGCTGATGATGAGGATAATGATGACGCTGCTGATGATGATGCTGATGATCATGATGCTGACGGGTTTGATGATGATGATGACGAGGAGGAGGAGAGAGGAGGAGCAGGAGGAGGAGGTGGATGAGGAGGAGGAGGAACAGTGGCGGAGAGGTAGGAGGAGGAGGAGGCTGCGGAGGATGATGATGAGCAACAGGGGGAAGAAGAGAGGAGGAGAAGGTGGATGCGGACGACGACTACTCATAATAGTCATACGCGTACGAAAATGATTTCAATAGCCAGAAGAAGACTATACGACGAATAATAACAGTACGAATAAAGAATACTACCATTGCGAATCATACGAAGCACGTGCGCGACTAATTTTACGACTAATACTACTAATATTCAGACTAATGATCATATCAAACGGCTAATAATAGTACTATTAGTAGTATTTTTCGGCTATGTGTACTATGGGTTTAAATCTAATAGTATGCACTACTGCTACTACTACTACTACTACTACTACTCCTACTCCTACTCCTACTCCTACTCCTACTCCTCCTCCTACCACTACTACTACTACTACTACTACGGCTACTACTACTACTACTACTACTACTACTACTACTACTACCACCACCACTACCACTACCACTACCACTACTACTACTACTACTACTACTACTACTGCTAACTATATACTACGTACTAATACTACTACGGCACTACTACTGATACACTACTACTACTACATTACTATACTACTACACTAATACTACTTACTTACTTACTACAACTACTAACTACAAATACTAATACTACTACTACTACTGTACTGCTACTCTGCTGCTGCTGCTGCTACGACACGACTTGACGACTACGACTACGATACGACTACGACTAAAGGGACTACGACTAAGACGACTACTACTACTACTACTACTACTCCTACTCGACTCCTACTATACTACTGCTACCGCTGCTTGCGGCTGCTACTAATACTATTAATACTCACTACTATTACTATACTACTACTACTTATACTACTACACTACTAATACTACTACTACTACTACTACTACTACTAATACTACTACTACTACTACTACTACATATTACTCTTACTACTACTACTACTACTACTACTACTACTACTACTACTACTACTACTACTACTACTACTGCTGCTACTACTACTACTACTACTACTAAGAAGACAACAACGACTACCATTAAGGCACATTCTAATCTAATACCCTCACTAATTCAAGACAAGGAAGAGGAGGAGGAGGCGGAGGCGGAGGAGGACGAAGACGACGAGCAGGAGGATATGGATGAGGAGATGGAGGAGGATATGGAGGAGGAGACGGAGGAGGAGATGGAGGAGGAGGCGGAGGAGGATGGGGAGGAGGATGATGCTGATGCTGCTGATGATGAGGAGGAGGATGAGGGAGAGGTGGAGGAAGAGACGGACGGGGATGACTATGCGCCATGTATTGGCATGGCCCGCAGCGTCAGGGCGTCCTCCTCCGCCCCCCCCGCCTCTCTTCCTGGCCCTCCTTATCCTCCACCCTGTTACTGCTTCTCCTCTTTTCCTGCCCCTCCCCTTCTTCTCCTCCTCTTCCTCCTTCTCTGCCTCCCTGCTCCTCCACCTTTTCCCCGTCCTTCTCCTCCTCTTTCCCTGCTTCTCCTCCTTCCTCCCTTCTCCTCCTCCTCCCTCCTGCTCGTCCCTTCTCGCTTCCCTCCACCTCCTCCTCCTCCTCCTCTTCCTCCTCCCTCCTCTTTCTCCTCCTCCTCCTTCTCCTTTTGCTCCTCCTTCTCCAGCCAAACGGCCGCATGGTCGACTGTGGACTTGCCACTGGAAGGTCCTGCAAGCGATGTGAAAATGCGCACGAGTGCGACTTGCACAACGCATGGCTGTGTCCAGAGAAACTGAAGTTCAGTACAATGTCAGACGTTGTTGTCAGCAGAGCCGAGGAGGACTGTCATACGATTCCGAGCTTTTGGTTCAGAGGAGTGGAGCCACAATCTTGGACCGCCGTGATCCTATCCTCAGATTCGGCGGATGTTCGCAGGCTCGGGGAAGACTTCGGGAGCGCAGTTGTCGGGGACTCTGCCTTCGGGGGTGGGGACGCGAGCGGAGGGCAGGACACCCAGGATCCTGCTTTGTGGCGTGCTGCTTGATCCTGGAGTGCCGTCAGGGGGCTACTCGAGGGCGGGTGCTAACCCCATACCCACGATAATAATGTACCCCCCTATACACATAAGAGTTGATTATCCACGGCCAATAAGAGTTTGGTCGGGGGCGCGGGGGCGCGGAGGCCGAACTTCATTATCACCTGAAAAGTTCGCCATCGAGGTTATTTCCTTCTTATGCTGAGATAGCAACATGAAGCGAAGCGAACACGTTTTTTCAGAATGTCTCACGCGAAACCAACAATTGTGGGAGACAGTCTCAAACGAAACGATCAATGTTTCAATGATGTCTCAAGCGGAACCAGCAATTCTTCGAGGATGCCTCAAGCGAAACGAAAAACTTGTCGATGATGTCCCAAGCGAAACAAGCATGTACTCGAGGATGTGTCAAGCGAAACAAGCATACACTGAAGGGCGTCTCAAGCGAAACAGTACGTTTCTAAAGGATGTCTCCTTCTCCTCTCCTGCTCATCCTCTTCCTCCTCCCCCTGGCGCCCTGCACTTGTTTATCGCTGTGGTTGATTATCTTGGGAGAACTGGCAGGTGAGCCACCCTACACGAGCAGATGAAAATCTCAATTCCCATTAAGCGTTTACAAATAAAATCTACTAAGTTTTGAACATTGGATTTTTTCTTCCTCCTCATCTTCCTCTCCTCTCTCTCTCTCCGTCTCTCTCTCTATATATATTCTCTTTCTTTATCAACCTCTTTCTCTCTTTCTCTCTGTCTCTCTATCTGTCCTCTGTCTCTCTTTCTCTTTCTCTTTCTTTCTCTCTCTTTCAACCTTTCTCCTTCTTTCCGTGCCCCCCCTGAACTTTTTTATCGTTGTGGTCGACTATCCTGGGAAAACGAGGCAGATGAGCTACCCTACACGAGCAGATGAACGTCTTAATTTCCGTTAAGCGCTTACACATAAAATCTATTTGGTTTCGTTTGGACGGTCCTCGACGAGCACGCTTGTCGAGGACCGTCCAAACGAAACAAACACGTCTTGTGAAGATGTCTCAAGCGAAACGAGCAGTGAAAAGGAACTCTCAAGCGAAGCAAAGACATATTTCGAGGATGTCTCAAGCGAAACGAGAGATTCGTCGAGGATGTCTCAAGCGAGACAACCATTGTTGAGGATGTCTCAGAGAGGACAAAAAGCCAAGGATATCTCAAGATATCCTCGGCTTTGGCTCCTCTGTTAACATCTTTATGCTGGCCTCTGGTGGATACTTTTATTATCGCACCGTAACCGCCGAACTTTATTCTCCCAGGGTGTTTATTATCGGCTGTTTGGGGTTATCGGGTAGAAGATCTCCGAGCCCATGCTGTAGCGTTCGGCAACATCCCAGGTTGAAGGCAGTCAGTGAACATGGGAGGTGCCCTCAGTTTCCTGGAACTCTTAAAGAATGTGTTTCCTTCGGAGCGCCTATTTTGTCACTGATTCCCCTGATGTTGTCAACAACTTCGCTAATGTGCAGAACGGGTTGAATCCTGAGTATCATTCGGGTGTCTGGCAGGACATCAGGGGCGTGCTCCAGGCCAATCAGTCTAGGGGGGTTGTCCTAGTCAAGGTAGAGAGTCATCGGAAGAGTAGCAGCGTCAGTGGACAAGGCTCGGACCAGCTCCATTTCTCGGTCAACGAGATAGCTGACAGTGTTGCCAGTTCGTGGGCTAGTCGCCTCAGGGCTAATGAGACCGAGAGGGTCTGTCACTTTCATGCCCAGGCCATCTCGCCTCAGGTTAGGCAGCACCTTGGGCAATCCCTCATGGCTCGTGTAGAGGCCGAAGGAGACAGAGTTCCGAAGCCGAATAACTAGCCAGACAAGCTCATGATACGACGATCTAGATTTTGCTCACGGCCCACTCTCCAGACCAGAGTAGGCTCAGAATTAGTTGCAGTGTCTGTGGGGGCTCATCTCCTAGGCATCTCATGAACATTTTTTTCTACATATTCCTTGCCACGCGAGCATGTTCAATGGGTTCTTGATGATCCCACAGGCTCCGAGAGTCAGTGATCAGTTGCTCTATTCTTCCCACACGCTCGGTTGAGCAGTGTGGGAGCACAACATATTTGAAACAGCGTGTTCTACCGCTGCTGGCGGAAAACCGGCCGGGGGGTCACTACCGGTTCGAACCCCCCGCCCTCGAACCCCTCCCCTCCCCCCCCCAGTCCATCATGAAAGGGGGGGGGTCACTACCAGTTCGAACCCCCCCCCTTCGAAAACTGGGGGGGTTCGCTACCGGTTCGAACCCCCCCTCCTCGAAAACCGGGGGGGGGTGCGGACAGTGGTGGGGACGGTGGTGGTGGGGACAGTGGTGAGGGGACAGCGGGACAGTGGTGGGGACAGTGGGACTTTGGTGGGGACGGTAGTGGTGGGGACAGTGGTGAGGACAATGGTGGGAACAGTGGGGATAGTGGGAC